ATGAAGCCAGCTTCCCGGCCAATCAGAAAGCAGGGCGTCGCGTCATTAGACGGCGCCCGGCTTCCTGATTGGACGGCTCCGGCTGGGTACCGGACGAAGGCCGCATTCTCGCTGGAGAGGCCCCGGGGGTGACAGGCTGCACATACTAAGGTAAGGTAACCTTACGTCACGAGGCCAGCTTCCTGATTGGCCAGCTTCCCGACCAATCAGGAAGCCAGGCAGCGCGTCATTACACGCTGCCCGGCTTCCTGATTGGCCTGGAAGTCGGCTCCATGCTCTCTCATCACAAGTGACGAGAGAGCATGGAGCCGCTTCCCGGTCAATCGCGAGACCGGGCAGCGGGTAATAACGCGCTGCCCGGCTTCCTGATACCGGAAGTACTCGTGCTAGGCATCGGAGCATTTGGGCGAGTACGAGTACTTGCCCAAATACTCGGAATCGGCACCGATATTGATACTAGTATCGGTATCGGTGCATCCCTAATAGATACAGTACAGTTAGTGAGGTTGTCACCCTAGGACAGGAAGTGTGTTACTGGCAGGGTCACCAGGTAAATATAAAGGAAAATAAAAAATGAATGCAGCCATCACATCCAAGGATTGGTAAGCTGCAATATATTACATCTTTGTTCTCTGGTTTACACTTTAATATCCAAAATAGGCTTCAATGAAATCTATCACCAGTTTTGATGCCTCGAAGATATTGTCATTTCCAATATTGTCCTGATCAGATCCAGCCAATAGCATATCAGCAAGCAGCGATCTGCAGTATTGTCGCTGCTCGTAACTCTCCAGGGGGAAGAGATATCCAAGGAAAGGCTTGTCACGTACTCAGCTACGGAGCCACCGTTCACTTTCTTTCATCATTCCTGTTTTTATTGCTATTGACAAGGACGTCTCCTGTTCAAGGACATCACCTCTGTCGGCAGAATAAAGAGTTACTCATGGGGTGCATGAATAGCAATTGGCTTAGAACCGCAAAGCATGAAACAAAAAAGTTATGTGAAGGATATACTCGCTGAACCTGCCAATTAGGAACATTGAATGTTAACTGAGGCACAGGATGGGATATTCAACACTTTGTGTACTAATTTACTTTGACATCGGCCACAGAAGCAAGTCAAACGCTGAAAAATTGGTTTGGGGTAATTTGACGGCCCAATGGGGTTAATCCGCTGTTGACCTCCTATTATCTTGTGCGCTGGGGTGAGCTCAGGTAGCATACTCACCCAAATCCAATGGTGTCCTACTGTGATCCACCAATCCCCTGTCACAAACCAGGTCCCTTACTGCCATCTTCAAAAAGATCTGTCGCATTTGCAGACACGCCACTGGTCTATGTCAGGTCCCATAGACCTAGCAGAGACCTGCGACATGTCTTTGCGTGCGGCAAAAACCGCTGCACATTTTAAGATTGCTGCACTTCTCTGTCAGGTCTATTGGAACGGGTAGGGAGCCATTGCGTTCTGCATATGTGCAGATTCAGTGCATGACACATTGCGGCCATCTGTCAGGTCTGTGCAACTTGGCAGAGACGCATAGGGGGGGGGGTGTCTGCGCACGTTTAGGTAAATGTTGGTAAGAATTTGCCAACATTTCCAGACTTTTGCAGAATTTCAGGGAAAGGGAGGGGTAGGGTAGGGAGATCGTTTTTGCCTGTGGTGGGGCTTGAAATAAAAAACATTTATATGGCAATACACGAATAACACTCAAATATACAAAAAAGGAAAATAAATGCAAAGAATGCTCAAATGAGATACCATAAACACAGCCTGAAAATAAATAACGGAACAAAACACAAACCTTTTCAATAAAAAAAATTATAAGAATTAAACTTAATTTCTTTAAGGAACTGTCGTCTAGGCAGCTGATTGAGTGGACTTCAGCTGAAGAGAACATTTTTGATGATAGCGAACTTGGTAACTTCATGCAAAAATCAATTTAGCCGAAATCACTTCACTCGTTTCCAAAATCAAGCACGCGCTAACGTTTCAGCTTTTATCATAAATGATCATTTCTGATTGGTTGTTGAGGCTTTTCATTCAAAAATACAATATATAACATTTCAGTAAGAAATGACATGTGACATCTTTGCGAAGGTTCTCCCGTCTCTAACATATCTCCATGGAAACGCAGGTAGCGATGGCGGCTCTAGAAACATGTTGTCTCCACGGAAACCGTCCTTTACTCGAAATGAAATAAATTCTAAGAGAAACCAGCAGATATGAAATATGTTGAGGAAGGCTGAGTGACCTGCTGAGTGGCCAAAAATTTCTCAGAGAAACAACATTGGATCATTTTTAAAGGTTGATATAGATGCCGAGGCCGAAGGAGGAGAGAACATTTATTCATGGCAATTTTCTCTCATGGATTTATTTCTCAAATTTCTTAAATTATGGAAGAATATGCCAATATTTGACCAACTTGCCGATATTTGGCAACCAAAGTATGATCTTCATACTCGGTCTGGGTCAGTGGAGCCTTTGGATGAGCATGACTACCTTGCAACAAGGGTTTTCAAACGGAGAGCTCTGTAATGGCAGCCCTAAAAAATTTGGTATAATTACTAATTTACTAATTAATTACCAAAAAAGTTTGGGTTTCACCGTTCCTTGCTCTATCCATAACTAATAAATACATACCAAGATATATATATATATATATATA